GCAACCAATAAGATAATCCTTGAATCCTTATCATACTCGAATTCTAAGGCTTTCCAACCTTAAATTCGTCCACCATATAAATAAGATAATCCTTACCTTATTTTGTAACTATCACATAATTACAAATCAGCCCCTCTAGTTTAATTAATTACATTTGATCACAAAACTAATTCTTAATTAATTATTGACCAATATTAATTAAACAAATATGATTTCTCCTTTAATATATTATTCTTAATAAATCATATTATCCTCTCTCTCTTTATTCATTTCTCCAATCAAGTTGCTTTGGTGAAGGCAACCCAAAAGGACCATGCACCATCGGGTCAAGTACATACCAAAATAGTTATGGACTTAGACACTAATCCAACATGCCCAACTCGGCGAGTCGGGTCAACTGGAAGTTGACTTTGACTTGGACTTGGTTGGGGGTAAAATAGTCATTTTACCCTAAGAGTAGATATCATATTTTGACTGAGTGTTTTGTGGGGGTTATAGCTGGAGGATTTCCGGAGCAGCAACAGACAGAGGTTTCCCCGTATAGATTATCAGCAACTACTCGTACGAGGTGAGTTAGCTTCCAGTAGCGGTGGGTCTACGTCCACAATGTCGGACCACCAGTAGGAGTTGTATGTTAGATGATTGTCTTTGTGATATCATCTAGGTTTGCTACTACCTGATATGTTATATGCTGGCATGATATGTTATATGTGATAGTAGTAGAGTTCGGTTGTTAGGACCGAAGGGTAGGTCAGACACCCCCTATATGTCTGATAGTATGTCATGATGTGTTTATATGTTGTCATGATATGTTATATGTTTTAGTGGTAGTAGGAGGGGAATAGTCCCCGAGTTTGGGTGTTAGGACCGAAGGGTAGTTCGGACACCCCAGATATGTCTGATAGCATGTTTATGTTATGAAATATGTAATAGTAGCAGTAGGGGGTGGAATAGTCCCTGAGGGTCGGTTGTTAGGACTGACAGGTAGGTCAACACCCCAGAATGGCTTGACACGGGTAGGACGGCACCCATGAATGGCCGCAAGGGTAGGTCGGCACCCCAGAATGGCCGTACGGGTAGGTCGGCACCCCAGAATGGCCGTACCGGGTAGGTCGGACACCCCAGAATTTTCCGGCAGTATGTATGCTATGTTATTGTATGGTATGTGGTACGATGGGGGAACTCACTAAGCTTCGTCCTTACAGTTTACAGTTTTGGTTTTAGGTACCTCTTCAGCAAAGGGGAAGGAGCTTGCGCGGTAGCGGCACATCATACACACACTCTTTGTTTTCCACACTATGGATATTCTGGGATTGTACTCTTACATGTTATTATTTTGTGACTTGGGTTCTCAGACGTGATACATTGTTTTATGAAATGATATGATTTCACAGTATTTTCTTATGAATGTTTTTATGATCCAGTTATTTTAAAAAGAAATTTTTGGACTTGAAAATTGGGTCGTTAAATACTCCATAAAGTTTGCATTTTTACGCATAAGGGACCCCTAATGTAACATCCGAATTTCCAGGTATCATATTTTAATTGTTTAATTTGAAGTTTTGAGGAGGGACTCGACGCGTTGACACTTAGACTCGCCGAGTAGGATTGCGATTGCTAACTGGATTAATGAACGGACTCGGCGAGTCAATGGGTGGACTCGACGAGTCCGCGCTGATGTCAAAAACCCTAAAATTTCGGGCCTGTGCCCTATTTAAGGGACCTTATAGCCCTCATTTGAGGCTACCGGTCTAGAAAGAGACCCTTGAGAGCTTGAGCGAGTTATGAGAGAGATGGAGCTATTTTTGATCATTTTTGGTGTGGTTTTGCAAAGAAGAGGTTGTTTCCAGCAAGAGGAGGTCAAGGGAGTGGCTGCTTTAGGGTTTTCAAGCTCAGATCTTCACTACTAAGGTAGCAAATCAAACTCTCCTTCTGTTTTGACAAAGATATATGAATCTAGGATTTTCTATACCCTTTTTATGGCTTGAATTGATGAGTTTATGGTCCCTTTATGTGTTAGACTCTAGATCTGGACCCATAGAGTTCCAGAGAGCCTTATCCATCTTGCTTTATGAAGTGATATGGAAGGAATGAACTTAGGTTGCCATTTTTGAGGCCATTTCTTCAAAAGGAACCATATATGTGTTGCATGAGTGTAAAGGTTTCACCTTTACGTGATTAGTGGGTATGGAAAGGTCAGATCTATAGGTTAGAGAAGCAGATCTGACCTCAGAAGGTTGATTTGGTGATTGTCATGGAAGAAACTCGCCGAGTCCATAAGGGGACTCGGCGAGTTGAGTCGGGTTGCTCCACGACTCGTATCCGGATGTAGCCGTTGAGTGGAAGGTTCACTCGACGAGTCTAGTGAGGTTTAGAAGGATCCAGAGTACACGCTTGGACTCGCCGAGTCACCTATGTGCACTCGATGAGTCTGGTCAAAGTTAACTGTTGACTTTCGTTAACTTTTAGGGTTGGGTCAACACTTGGACTTTTGGACCATTAGAAGGGTAAAATGGTCTTTTAGCCTTCTAAGAGATCATTGGAACAAACTAGTCTAGCCTTGAGAGCTGTTATTGATTTGAGATGATTGCTTATATGTTTAGGTGGGGCTAGGTCATTGTTACGAGGTTCAGGGATACCGAGCACATGAGTTACTAAACAGCATACGAGGTGAGTCTTCTCACTATACTTTACCTAGAGTGGTAACTATGTGTGACCGGAAGGTCTTATATGTTGTGCTAAGTATGTGATATGTGTTGCTATGTGATATGTATATGCTATGTTATGTTATGAGTATCATGATATGGATCGAAAGGTCAAGATGATGAGGACCGGAAGGTCTACCAGAGTTGGGACAGAAGTCCCCTGAGACACATAGATCGGAAGATCCCATAGAGTTATGGCCATGAGTGGCGTATGTGCTGTATATGGTATTTTGGGGAACTCACTAAGCGTTTATGCTTATAGTGTTATGTGTTTTGTGTTTCAGGTACTAACGATGATTGTGGGAAGGCGCTGACATGATTCGTACACACTGGCAGGAGATTTGTTTTATGATCTTGGGATATGTTTTTATCGTGATGACATTTGTTAAACTTGAGAATTTGAGAACATTGAATGATTTTTATGTTATATGAAAAATGAAAAATTATTTTGAAAATTCACGTTGTTACACCTAAAACATCCAGATCTAAGGGTTAAGCTTCTGAAACAACCTCTACCTACAAGGACCAACCAAAAGGGACCAAATAAGCCATAAACAAACACAAACTAGATATACACAAGGAGTTGTCAAGCTAAGAACTTTATACCTCAAACTGATCAAAATGATGATGCTAACTCTAGATCTCTAAGCTCTACTTAAAGGGATGAGTCTTCAATCTCCTTCTACCACTTCAAAATGCACAAGAGCTCAAAAACACCAAAACAATGGCTAAGGGTTGAAATTAGTGTTTAGAAGATATGGAGGTTGTAAGACGCTCATGGGACTTAAGGCCTTTAAATAGGGCAAAAATCTTAAAAATCAGGGTTTGTCCCAGCCTTACGTATACCATGTGTACTCCACATACGTGAGTGATATCCGAGATCAGGCATCGAGCTAGTATGCCAAGCGTATCACTTAGTACGCCCCACGTACTAGCTAAAGGACCAAAACGAAGGGTTTTCAATTAAGGGGGTTAAAAGTGAAACTTACCAAATTTAGTGTTACATATGTGGTACCATTTGTTCTTGCAGAAAGATCATCTATTCCACTAATTGTTGTTCCAAAGCTTTCATTTGATTGTCCATTGCTTCTTGCTATTGCTGGACTTTCGTTGCGTTTTTACCTCGAGTCAGATTGTCAAGTAGAATTACAGGATCAAAGAAACATGCTCTGATAACATTGATGTAGGACGCAGGAAGCTACAATGTTTTATGAAGAATCGAAGCTTCAAGATACTACACGAGAACCATTTAAGAAAACTTTATTGAATCGATAACCATTTTCACACAGTTGCACATTCTATTTATACCCTCAAGACATTACTAACAATTTTTATCTATATTGACATTTATGCCCCTCTTGTAACTAACTTTATAACAACTAGCCCTGTATCATGAGACTTCTTAACAATTTTTATCTATATTGACATTTATGCCCCTCTTGTAACTAACTTTATAACAACTAGCCCTGTATCATGAGACTTCTCTTTGTTTCTATGTTCATGCTATCTACTTATCAGTTGTATCTATTTTGATCTATCCTTTTATTTCATATATAGATTTGGTTCATATAAATTATAATCTTGTTAATTAATTGATTCATCAGTTTTTTTTTTCTCATGTTTAATATGATCTTTTTTTTTTTTTTTTGCTAAAATTCACTTAATAAATCATTGTTCTAAATTAGATATGATTGAGGAATATAATGATATAATGTGCTAGATTTTGAGATTTGTATGTCTAATTGAGTTTATCTTGATTTACGATGTTAAAGAAAGGCAAATAGAACGCATAACACAAATCTAATTCATATTGGTTTCTAGCTTTGCTAATTGCTTAATTACTTTTATTCTCTCATTAACAGATGTTTAGTCTACTTCTGTCCTTCAATGTTTATATGTACCATCCGTTTCTTTTTTTTTTTTTTAATAATTGGAGTTTGTATGCATACTTTAACCGATGAAAATGAGGAAATAATATGCTAGAATTTGGGATTTAAATGCCAAATTATGTTGAGTAGGTCATGTGAATATATATATATATATATATATATATATATATATATATATATATATATCTTTACTATTCTATTAAGCATATTAGATATTTTTTGAAAATTTTAAGAGGTACAACTACTATAACATCAGATACCATCATAAAATGCTTGAAGAAAACCGTGAATAATTTAAATGGTAACTCCTATCCCACCCACTAATCTCGGCCTAATCATCGTCCTAATCATCCGTATCACTTACTTTCCCTTTTTTTTAAATTCCCTTTTCTTTACGGTTACACTGATGCTCCTCCTTCTCCGCCATCCATGGTCGCTTTCTTTTCACCCTTTCTCCGAAACCCTAATCCGTCAGCCTCTTTCTATCTTCAAGAACCCACAACGGCTCTGCCTTCTCTGCCATCAATGGCCGCCCTTCTTTTCACCCTTCTCTGAAACCCTAATTCGTCCACATCATTTTGCCTTCAACCACCCACAACAGTTGTTGCTAACTACTGTTTCTAATGCTTCAATCCAGGTTTATGACCACGAAATAGGAAACATCATGCGAAGAAGCATAATCAATCCGAGTTTACAGTTTATTTTAGTGTTTATTTTGTGTTCTAACATTCATTTTCAAATTTTCTAATGTATCTTTCTTTGAAATATCTTTTAACTGGATTTTCAGGGAAGATCCAAATCACATAATTAAGAAATCGATCATGGAGACCTAGCAAAAAGGGAAGATGATAATGAAGGTTATGATGGTTGTATCTGCCTTACTGTATGTGGTATCTCCCCAAATCCTCGGTTTTAGTTATAAGAATTAGTTTCATCATCTAAAGGAAATTCATTTGTTCTTCTTTTTTATTTTGTTTGTTGATTTATTTTAAAGAAAATGTAAGTTCAGTAAGTTTGAAGGAATGGTTCCTTCTAGATCATCTAAAGATTTTGGCGTTGTTAAATTTATTCAAAGTGGCGACCTTTTGTCAATTATAATAGGTAAACTTACAAGTTTTGTTGTAATTTATTTCATTAATTCTCCATTAATTGGTAATATCACAAAACACTTTTCACTTTTGTTGTTTTTTTTAAAGTATTACAGAGGAAAAATTTTATCTACAGTGCAGGTGTTTCTGTTTATTGCAACAAGCTATCACTATGATTCCCTTCTTGGCCACACAAAGGATTTAAATATCCGAACAAGATGGAAATCGTAGGACACAAATCAACACTTGTAGGAAAACCCATTCTCGGTCAATGCCTTAAAAGAAGAGAAAGAAAACTTGCTCTGCTTGAAGATGTTCGCCATTAATATCTTTCTCTCTCTTCCCCTTTACACACACAAACACACATCCTTGATTGAATACTAATCAAATTCAATCCTTTTTTAGATGAATTTATCCCAGGTGGATAAACTGAAGAAAAAGCTAAGACAATAAGTTGTACATTTAGAGGAACTAGTAGTAAGTGTCCGATAAGGTTTATGATCTTTATCTACAACATGCTGTAGGATCCACCCTTCAAGGTTTGGTCATCTTTCTTTTATCTTTTATCTTTTTGTAAACGAACAGTATTTGCCAAAACTAAATCTAAGCTTAAATTTATATATTGGTTTGTTTTTGCAGACAGTGGAATAAAAAGAAAATAATATGGTCATCCTTCTCTTGGAAATGTCCATCTTGATTTCTCTGTGTTTTTATTTCAGTGAAAATAGAAGCGATTTAATGTTGAAGTATGCCGATTTTAGAAAGATAGGGCCTAGGAAGGATTTAATATAAAAGCTTTTTAAGTTGTTGACCAAGATAAAAGTGAAGATCCTTATTCCTTTATTCAAATTTTAAGTTTTTATCAGTGTCAAGTTTGTGTGTGTTAATACTTTTTGTAATTTTTGGTAATGTTTGTGTTTGAAGTCTCATGTCAATTAACATTTTCAACATTATTTGTAATTATTGGTTCTTTTCTTGTTTGAATTCTTAGTTTTGGGGGTATTTTTTTTTTTTAATTTATGCAGAGTATCCTTCATGAGATTTGGGCTACATTCTTAAAAAACGGTTCAACTTTGAGAACCAAACTCATCTTTTTTTTCCCTTTAAATCCTAAAAATATTGCACCCCAACTATTTGTTCTTATGCCTATGAGACCCGTAAACTGTTTAATTAAGTGGTTCCATGGGGAAACTTCATGTATGTGTTTTGGTTGTAGGTATATGAAGCACTGGTTATGCTTTTTTTGGAAGATTGAAAGGACTCTTGGAAGTTGGTGGAGGGGATGTATTGGGGGAGTGGGAATGTAATATTATTTAATTAATATATCATTTTCATTTTCATTTTCATTATTGGTGACTTTCAGATCCCTTGAAGATGTCTTCAACAGTTCAAACTGTTCTGTTAGGTAAAGGATTAACAAGAGGATGTAGGAGATTCTAGATGTGGTAATTAACACATTCATCTGGGTGTTTTGGAAGCATAAGAACCTTCTAATGTTCAAAAACAAGGTTCCTGATAGCTTTCTAATTACTCGCGAGGTTAAGCTTTTTGGGTTCCAATGGATTAAGAACGGGAACCAATTAGGTAAATGCTTTATAATAACTCAAATATAATTTAATTTATTATAAAGCATGAGTGAATATGTTTTGACTTGTATGGTGTTTTCTGTTTAAAATATTAGGAACCATGGATGATTATAAGTTGAAGAATGCAATGAGGTATGACCTTCATCTAAGCATACAAGAAATATCTGATGATATATTGGGATTATACTTATATTGAAACTTCATCTTACGTTTCATAGCCTTGAGTTTTGAAATGACAAAAAGTGGTTGTAGGGTTGAGGATTACTAATGAGTAAGTTTACTTGGATTAAAGATTACGTATTGTAAATTGTACAATAAATATATTTTTTGTATTATTTTTATATTTTAATATATATCGGGGGCGGGTCTAGGGTCGAGGATTAATGGTATCCCCATCCCCATCCCCACAGACATTTTTATATTTGGGGATTCCCCATTCCCATCCCCATCTCCGATCAATTTCAAGTCAAAACGGGTGCGGGTTTCGGGTTCCCCATCGGGTATGGGGATTTTTGCCATCCCTATATTTAATGCTATTGTATGTTTTTGAATTATCAAAAAAAACCCTAAAACAAATCTAAATAGAATGATTATTCTTTAATACTTAAAATTATTGAATAACAAGTCCATCATGAAACTCGATATTGGAAATTTGAACGCATAAACTTTATTAACATATATGGTAGCAATTTAGTACTCGAAAAACCAAATTAATAAAATTAGATAGCAATGTATGTTTATTTCCGAAACGATATGACTTGATATTCATAATTAAAAACTAACATCATTTTATAAACACAATATGGTATTAAAAATATTAAAACTAATCGATTTTTGACATAACTTTATGCTCGTTTAGTCACAGAGCTAACTTACAGTGGATTTAATAACTCATTTTTACTAAACCTTAAATCCTAAACTCTAAGTCCAAAACCCTAACCCAAAAATATGAAACACAAAATCTATATGTTAAAAGAAACTATTAGCTGAAACACCATATAATCTTTGTAAATAACATGTTTCTGAAATATAACTATATGTTCTTTGTAAATATAACCATTCATAAAAAAAGAATTACTTACTCAAATAAAACTAACACCTATCAAAGAGAAACTAATAGCATAAAAAAGGTATAAATATGAAAACATCTCGACTATTTACGTCAGGCCTATAACAAGTATCTAAAAAAGATGGAAAACTCGCCAAACACATCATGAGGCAGACTGCAATAGATTCGGGGCCATCCTAGACTTGAACCAAAGACCTTCTTTGGTGTCACCCGGTCAATAATTGTGGCCTCGCAATCCTTCATGTATGCTCCACTTGGCTCGAGAATGAATTATTATCCAAATAAAAGTACAATATATATATATATATATATATATATATATATATATATATATATATATATATATATATATATATATTATTTATAAATGATATTTAAAGACAGAGTGTGTGTTCTTTAAAGAAGTATTGCACGATAAATAATGTACATTTAATCATATGTTTGTATATATAATTTGTTTAGATATAGTAAATTATTTATGCAAAAGAATTAATCCTTTGTAGAAAACTAATTTATGAAAAAACTATTCGTACCCGTCACTTAGCGCGGGTAAACGACTAGTATATATATATATATATATATATATATATATATATATATATATATATATATATAATGCTAAAGTTGCAAACCAAAATTGTGTGTGATGACACGGTGATTAGAGTTCAAAACAAGTTTTGGCCTCTTAACCATTTTTTTGGGTAATATGTAGTTATGTTGTTTGAGTATAGGGGATGTCCAATGGCCTTTCCTTTTTATTAGATTCTCCAATCTAGAATTGTAATAATTTTTTTTTTAATTAGTTATAAAATTTTCCAAAGGCGCCGTCCTCCTCATATAAATTTTGGCAGCTTGGGCCTCAAGCAAGTTTAGTAGGTTACAACTTTACGTGGCATTCCACATAGGGATGTAACCGGTTCTGGAACTGAACCGAAACTAGAATATCCAAAGACCGGTTAAGAAGAATGAGAAATCAAGAACCGAACTGAATGCCACTAACCGGTTCCAACCGGTTCCATTTCGATTATACTAGGAAGTGTGTTATCTAAGGTGTTCCGTATCGATACTAGCCCGAATCAGACTAGAATCGACCAAAAACCAGAAATGATGGATTGGGAGAACCAGAAACCAGACCGAATACCACTAATCTATTCGAATCTGGTTTTAGTATGATTTTTCGGTTAAAAAGCCCATCCCTAATGTTACGCATAGACATTTCTGACCCACATTTAATCACGTGGCGTTGACATAGCATCCACATGGTTTTTTTAGATTTTTTTTCCTGAAAACAATTTTATTACTCTCTCTACTGTACAGGGTTATATTTGTAATTTCAAAAATTTGTATAATTTTATTACTATTTTTATCGAACCTCATCTAAATTTCTCAAGAAACAATATTATCGATTCCTATCTTAAAGTTCTAAACACTTCAAGGAAACTCTTTTGATCTTATCAAATTTCATGGTCATGAAACAATTAAATTGTTGAAATTACGGGTTTAGTATTTTAACATTAAATAGAATAAAAAAAATATGCAAATAAATGTTACAAGTAGTTATTTTAAATAATAGAATCCCTTAAATACAAAAATTTAATATTTAAGGGTTTATTTAGTATTTAAATTAATTGAAAGAGTTTATTTGAGGTTTAAATAACTAATAAGGCTTTATTTGAAAATTAAAATAACAATAGGGTGTTAATTGTCAAAATGGGAAAAACTTAAACAAATTAAATAAAATTATTTAAATTTTAAAACTAAAATAAGATAACTAGAGGGGGTATTTTGCCACTCCAAAAGGTATCAACAAGTTCATAGAAAACAAGAATGAGGTAGGAACCATCAAACTCTCGACAGTTTAGGGCCAAAATGAAAAATTCTTGAATTAGGTTAAATACTCAGTGGTGTACGTATACAGTCATATCCACCCAAGTTTATTCCGCATTCTCGCCTCTGATCGAATCCCACTGCAAACTTGATTACAGCCCTATATCGATTATACGCATTCAATCGAGAGAAGCAAACTTGAAATCAGAGAGGCAGAAAGATACGTGTGAGAGAATTGGAAGAGAGATACGGTCATACTATACGGAGATTGCGTGACCTTGGATCCAAGCAGGGGACAACGATCGACATTAATCTGGTAAGCTTCCTCTTCTTACGTACATGATTCAATCTATTAATTCCTCGATCATGTATCATGTTGATATTGTTTGCTGTCCATTTCTTTCCTTCCCTGATCGATAGATCATGCATCCTTTTCTCTCATGTTGCAAGCACGTTCTGGAGTTGGTAAAACAGAAAGATTAGCCTCGTGTACTTGTGTCTTAATTCCTTACCCTGAAACGGTTTCCTGTTGGCTTCTACCTTTCTTGTTCATTGCTAGTTGGTTGCTCCAACATAACCATTAATGTCTAGTCATGGAATAATTAACATGCATCCAATTTCACGATTTAATTATTATCTTCTAGCTTCTGTTTCTTTCTTTTCTTTCTTTCTGAGTGAACAATTAATTTTATGCAAGAGTTTCTGTGCGATTTATCTATTGTGAAGACCTTTGCTGCCCTTGAATTCTTGCTATATACAGTTCTCGTGCTTGTTAGGGTCGCTATCCCAAAACTTGTCTCTTTCTTTTGTTAACGCATCTACTTCTGTCCATATATATAACTTTCCCCGACATTGGTTATTAGTACCTAGTATTCCAGCCATGTAAACCCGTTAATTGTTTAGGCGTGGATGTTCTTTTGTGTCCAGCCCTGTGTATCATAATGTTCTTTCATGTCCAGCAATATACATACACACACACACACTTTTCTTTTCTTACTCTCCAGTCATGAAAAACACCAAGAATGGTTTGTTAGTTCATGCATTGGTTAGATGTTTTTATTGCTATACCCTGCTGTCATGTGACTTTACTTCAAATTCTTGCCATGTTTTACGAATTCTGTACTTGTGTTTTGCTGCCAAACCTAATCTTGCTCCTTATTAGCATTGATAAACCAAGCCAATGAGTATTGTTAAGTGCTGGAAATTAGTGGACATAATACCCCTAAAAGGCCACACATGCGAATTTTGAACCAATATGAGCCTTATTAATTTCACTATCTAATTCATACTTTCAATGCCAAGTAGCTAAATGACTTCTGCTGAATATTAAATTAATACGATATGGTTCTAAGTATGTGGAATCTTATGACGTACATGATTAGTTCATTGGTTTTTAATATCTGGGACGAGATAAGAATTTTTATATTCATATATAAGTACCGTATGATAGACAAAACTTATATATAAAAAAATTTATAAATACAAAAATACAATAACTTTATAATCAAACAAATAATACAAACAAAAATCTACAAAAATCATCTAAAATTTAAAACAATGTCTTCATGCATTTTTTTAAGCAAAAACACCTCTTATATTACAATAATCAATATTTTGTAAATAGATGTTTATTTGCAACCAACATATTAGGGAACATGTTCATTCGCCTTGCATACTCTATTATTTGAATAGATGTCCAAAGGGCTTGCACCTTTGTATGCTTCATCCGATAACATTTTCTGCAAAATTTGTAACTCATTAAATAAACTTAATCCATCGATATCAGGTTCTTCACCATTTGTTAAATTAGACTCAAGAATAAACAACATTTTTTAATTCATCATCTACTAATGAAATTAATCTAGACCTCTCAAACAAAAATCCAAATATGATTTAAATTGTTGTATTTGTTCAAATTTACTTTTCAACTGAACAAGAGTCGGACAGTAAGATCATTAGAATTTCTAACATTTTGATTTCTAACAATAAATTTATTCATACACCCTTGTAATGGATAAAAAACTATGACTCCTAAATCACAGAAACATAAGATAATATTTTAGAAAATATCTTTAGAAATCATATCTAAAGCAAGCAGCCAAAAGTTTTACCTGAAGCAAATCTCAAAATTCAGACATAAACCAACAAATATCAAACTCAGATGAGAAATCAGACCTTTGGACTTTGATCGAACTCCAACACGTCCTTTTTATTGTAATTAAACTCCAAACAGGTAGAAACCTAACTCCTGAAACAAACCATAAAAGTAAGAAATTGAACCTCTAGCAACTAGTATAGAGAGAAATTAAAATCACATTAATAAAAATCAAACTCACACAATAACCCAAGTCAGTTGATGAGAAATTAGAAATCGAGATTTCTACTATAGTTGAACTCAAACAGGTAAAAATCAAACCATAACCACTGTCCACAAAAACAGATTAAGAGGTGAAGATTGATGGCAACATGTTTAGAAAGAAACTAGAAAAAGATTAAGAAAAATCAAACTCACCGAAATCATTTCAAGAGAAATTAGTTTGAAAAATCCAACAAGACCTTGGATTTCTACTTTCACTGTCGTTTTCCCTCGAATGTTTGCTTTGGTTAATAGTTAACTGGTTAAGAAAATCGAAAAATCAGAAATCGAACTCTAACTGCAAATCTGAAATCGCAATACTTTGATTTTGAGATTATTAAAGGGGTGTTTGGGAATGCTTTTTGAACTCTAAAACTGCTTTTAGATAAAAGTGTTTATTGACTTATTGTAGTGGTAAAAAAAATGTTTTTTTTAAGTGTTTGGATCAACTTTTATTGTGAAAAAAGTCAATAAGCCAATAAGTTAAAAAGTGTTTGGCTTTAAAACTCATTTCTGAAGTTATTTTGATTAAAAAGCTAAAAGAAGTTTCAAAAAACCAAGTTTTACATGCTTTTTAAAAAGTGTTTTTTAAAGCTAATAGAAAAGCTATTCTGCAAAGTGATTTTGAGTCGCCAAACACTTTTTTTTTGACTTATTAGCTTTTTAAAAAACCAATAAATCAATAAGCTATTTTGAAAAACAATCCCAAACACCCCCTGAGAATTTGAGATGGTCGATTAAGTGCATGAGTAGGTTTAAAGAGAATATAATGAGAATAATGAGTAGAAATAGGATGTAGAAGGATGGTAAACAAATTTCCAATCTCTCCAACTCGATTTAGACTTTAGTGACTTAAAGGGCTCCTTGATCTCTGCATCTCGGACATTTTTCTTTGGGTGATTCTAAGGTTTCAATTATTTGGCGCTCAAGAAGTCCCGCTCGCGCCTCCAGAGCCAAACGTCGACTGCCTTCTTGGCTTCTTAAACTAAATTTGTGGGCCAAAGTAATATACATGCAATAACTTAGTAGACTTAAATTATGCCCTTTTTAATTTGATGCCTTGGGCCTTAGCCTAACTTCCTCATGTATTGGGTTGGGCTATCGACATAATCCATAAAAGCTTATTAAGAAGTTTATAAATTTTGAATCATGATTACTATTACAAAATTTTGATCAATAACAAGAAGAATATAATAATCTAAGCATTATCATCAACAAGGGTTTATGTTATCAAAATTATAATCTAAGTCTCAACCTGATTATAATTGTGCCCATGATATTTAATACTTTTGAGATTTTAAGACCACAATGAAGCTTTCATTACTAAAATATAATCTAAGGTGTTTCCCTCTCTCCTTGAGTTCGAGAGTTTAAGTATTGTCTTGGACATAGGTGAATTTAGAAGTAGTTTAGGATTATATTATATTTGCTGTTCAAAACAATAAAATAATCTAAGGTGGTACAGCCTAAACCCGATATAATTATAATTGTGTTTAAGTTTATTCGACAACTAAAAGAGATAATATGGGTCGTTATGATCATAAACACGGACAAATAAGCAAACGTTAACTTAATTAGTTGATGTAAATTAAACAAGATGTTATAGGGTGTTGAACTTGAAATTAATAAAGTTGTAATCGGATACAGGGATTCATTGGCGAGCTAGCTAGAGAGGCACTACAAGACTTTGTGTAGGTGAAACCACATTGCAGAAGCTAAGGTGAGTACATAGATTTTCCTAAACATGCATCCTCTATGATAACAATTTGTTTTATTTTCTATATGTTATTCATGTACCATGTTACCATACTTCTACGTGATTTTATGTGCATGCAATCTGTTAAGGTGTTTTACTATATTTTATGTGACATATAAAGTTGTTAAAGGGTTGATGTGTTAAATCTTTTTAAATTTTAAGTATTTTATATAACATGTTAAGGGGTTATAAAGGTTTGACGTGTTAAATGGTCTTATGTAGCATACCAAGTTGCTAAAGGGTTGACTTGTTAAATGGTTTGTGCTTTGTGAAAAGGTTTTTGCTTTTTGAATAGGGTTTATGAATGAAAATAGTTGTACTTTGTGAAAAAGTTTTTTGATTTGTTAAAAAAGGAGGGCTTTGTGAAAAGGGTCTATGATTTGCAAAAACGATGGTGCTTTGTGATGATGGTTGTACCTTTCTATTCTTAACCTATGTGAAAAGGTAATAGTTGAGTAAGGAAAAAACCATGGTCCTTTTTTTCATCACCTTCACAAAACCATGCACATCGATTTTTTAAGGAAACAAACAAGTTGGGTTCAAGAAGGAAAAAGGATAAATCAATATCGGGTGGTTTCTTAAGTTACATATGAGAGAGAGAGAGAGAGTAAAAAAACTTTCTTCTAAAAATACCACATAGGCTAAAACAGACAAACCTACTATAAAAAGTCCTAATGGGAAAATGAAAAAAAAAAAGTTTTTGACACTGTAGCACAACGAACTTTGATCATTTTACACATTTAGTCACTCAAGTATTTTTTATGCACAATTAGTCACTAAAGTTAAGAATGATCATCTAATTAAGGGATCAAACCAAATTTTATTCAGTTTACATGTTAGATTATAATCTAGGTGACTTTTTTTTTTTTTGGTTTTTACAAAATTAAAAATCAAATCTAAATCAATATGGCTTTTTTTTTTCCTTAACTCACAACCGTAATATATCAAAAAAACACTTCGTTGGACCTTCTGCTCTAAAATCTGTTCGTTTATTCCCGTTGTCGCTCTCCACCTCCGATGACACCAACTCCGATGATGCCTCATCTCCAGCGACACCACCTCCCTCAAACGCCTCACCTCTGATGCTCTCTACCACTACTCGGTATAGAAAAATGCCAGGTTTGAATCTAAAATAAACACTTTTCCCTTCACATTATTATGTGAAATTGAAATTGATGCGCACTTGAACTTCGAATCTTGAACCTTGTTATATTGCCGCTTGATTTTGTGTTTCTTTTCCTAAATTGGAAGTATGATAATAATTTGAATCTCGTCTTTGACGCGTTGGCAGAAAGAGAGACAAGAAAAGAAAATTTTGTGAGAGATCTAAAACCTAACCCAATTCAAATCACATTTCCGGAGCTAGATTTCCTAACAAAATAAACCAAATACAGTTCAGATATCTAACAATCAATTGCAAAACCATGACATTTTAAATCAAAGATCAAGAAGATCGAAAACTCATGGTCAAAATATAGATTTTGGGGTAGAGGCATTAGTTAACCTTGTGATCATACTCATAGGCGAAGACTGACGATATGATGAAAAGAAAGGATGCGAAGAGTACTGCAATGACAGACCAAGACGACGGTGATCGGACGAAGGTTCGGGATAGCTGACTGAGTGATTGGATGTAATGGCGATTGCTCGGATGTTGTTTCTGCGTTCTATCTGCACAAGGGTTCCACTCTTTTTCTCTACTTTGTGTATTTTAATTTACTTCCAAATCACATAGTCAACGATGATAAAATAAACAAGTTTGTGAAAAAAATGTTATTTTGGGTCTAACAACATAGATTTCTTCCTTGAAGGTGTTGTGCATAGGTTTTAACCTTCACCGGAGAAAATGATGTGTCTTGATGTGGAGAAATGAAGATACTATTGGTGCCACATCTGTAAATTTATCGGTTCTTCCAGTACCAGGGAACAAAAAGTCTAATTAACACATAAATGACAACTTTAGTGACTAATTGTGCATAAAAAAAACTTGACTAAATGTGTAAATTGGTCATACTTTGTTGTGCTAGAGTTTAATGGCTTAATTATTATGGTTTAAGTATAAATGACAAAAATGATGATATTTTTGTAACTTTGATGGTTAATTAAGTCAAAAGACATTTAAAAAAATGAATTTAGGGTCAAAATAACAATGATAACATTCTAATTTATTTATTTGAAAAGTTCAACTAATTATATCAATATAAAATTGACAATTACTTAACTAACCAAATTTTAAATATTAAAAATAGGGATACCAGAAAGAATTTTATAAAAACGCTACAAACCGGTTGAAATGCCGGTGCAAATATATGTTTTTAAGACTAGTTTATAAGCAATTTTTTAATTGTCAAATATCACAATTAAAAAAATTCAAAAAATAAACTAAAAACTTGCAGAGAGCGCAACAACATAACCTATTTATTTTTTATGTAACATTACATAAATTATTGAAAATAATATTTTTATTATACTAAATGGTTAAAAAGTATGTCATATCAATTGCTAAAATAAATCAATATATCTTGTAACACCCCAAAACTTCAAATAAAAAATTTCATTTAATAATTAAAAATCACTACCATATTTGTTATTCAAAGATTTTATTACATAAACACATTGTCCAAAAGATCAGAGTATCCAAACAATAAGTGCGGAAATACTGTAGAGTGCATACTTCGCCATCAAGTCGGGCTCTTGCCCTTAGAACCAGAAGTACCTGAAACACCCAACAAAACTGTAAACATATGCTTAGTGAGTTTCCCAAAATACACAAATCACATAACCACATAATGCCATACATATAAATTTGCCATGGACTCCCTCCATGGTCTTTAACTAGGATGTCATGGGCTACCCTCATGGTCTTACATCCAAGGGCCATGGGCTCCCTCTCATGGTCTTACCAAGTACCATGGGCTCCCCCCATGGTCTTCACATAACTTAATACATACCAAATAACAAAACCATTAAATCTCATATCAGGTAATGGGCTGGCATTGGTGCCTTCGACCCATTGGTGTAGTGAGAAGACTCACCTCAGTCTGCTGAAAACAATAGCTGCTCGACTACCAGCCCTAAATCTCACACTGAATAAATATACAAATAGCCCTAATTAGGATTATAACTCAACCTAATCAAAGAGCCCAAAATCCTAAGTCCAAGTCCCTTCATAATGGCCCAAAAGGTCATCCCTTCAATAATGGGCCTAACATCAAAGTCCAATTCTATATCGGGCCACAAGGCCTAATAGGCCTAATCATACCAACAATGACCCAAAGATAAATTCAGGCCCAAACACCAGCAAGTCCAAGCCCAAAACCAGTCCGCCGAAGGCCCAAAACTTCCTGAGAGGGTACGCCTATCGTACCTCTTCTATACGCTGAGCGTACTAGGTCAAGGGGCTGTACGCGCAACGTACAACATAGTACACCCCGCGTATAAACTGCATTGCCTTTGCATGTCGTATATGCTCCCAACAACCCAATCTATCTCATTAAGACCTTTCCAAGAGTCTTAACTCATGCATGAAGCCTTAGAAGTCATCTAGATTGCATTTTTATGATATAATCAAGCCAAAGGACCTTAGATCTCTCTTTACTAACCTTTGGAGTTGCCCAAACTCCCAAGAGACGATTATGGACTTAAAAAAGAACTTCTAGAAAACCCTAACTTAATAACCAACAAGGATAAGCAAGGAGAAAACTTTTTACCTTCCAAAGCTTCCCAAGATACTCTAAATGCAGGATCCTCAAGCTCTTCCCACGTTCAAGTCTTGAACACTACTTCCTTCTTCTTGAAAACCCACAAGAATGGCCACCAAGAACACTTTAAGACAGAAAACTCACACTCTCTTGCAAAAATAGGGTTTTAGGATAAAAGGAGGCTATGGAGGCTGATTAGGGTTTAGTCCAAATGATATAAGTGTGCTTAAGTAGTGTCCAAACTCCAAACCAATAAATTAGGGTTTGGTCATTGGCGACGTATGCCCCCCGTACATGCTCGTACGCCCAACGTATGGGCCTCAGCCACCCATTGCATGTTAGTACGCACAACGTACAGAAGGTCCCTTTTTGCAAAAAATGAAATACTTGGAGGGTGGAAAGGGGAATACCTGCATTGGAGTGTTACATATCTTATATTGTTTTAGAGTTAGCTTTTTTAAGTAGAAAAATTAATTGATTTAAAAATATAATATGATTGTCAAATTATAAATATTCAAATAATAAATTCTTTTATTCTGTATTAAAACATGGAGTAAATTACACGAATGGTCCCTATGGTTTAGGGTAATTTGTGTGTTTGGTCCCTAACTTATTTTTTTTAACTCGGAAGGTTCCTACTGTTTGTTTTTGTTACGCGCTTGGTCCCTATCTTACCTAAAAAGACTATTATGCCCTTGATTTTTTTAATTTATTTAAATAAACACTCCCCTAATCCCATCCATTCACCTTATCTCACCTACCCCATCATTTTTTCCTCTTTAAATAATAGTCTTTTTAGATAAGAAATGGACCAAACACGTAACAAAAATAAACAGTAGGGATCAAATGCGTAACAAAAACAAACCATAAGAACCTTCCGAGTTAAAAAAATAAGTTAGGGACCAAACATGCAAATTACCCCAAACCATAGGGAGCATTCGTGTAATTTACTCTAAAACATGCAATGTTTTTTGTATATCTTATTTTCGGGGGTGCAGCGTCACACACACCCATCACATTCTTCATGCTAAAAGTCATGACGCCACCAAGAACAGGACGTTCTGCTTCCATTTCGCTTACCCGCCCTTGATCTAAATTCTCAATATCAAAGAACCCGAAAAAGAATTCTTAAGGAAAAATATCAAAATCACCTTCTCCCGACATGCAGGAGGTTAAACCATTCAACATAATTTCCATATGTAACTTGATTTTGGTTTCTTTCTACTCGTTCAATGGATATACATCATGACTATTACACATTTGATCATTATCTGATCAAATGATTTCGCCAGTGTTTTTCGTTTTCACCAGCTTATAGTAATTGATGTTATTAAGTTTCAATCTGAAATGAAGCCGTTGATCCATGATCAGATAGGAACTCATTGGGTGAACAATTCCGCTTAATTTGTGGAATCGAGCTGAAATCAGTATCAATTTTACGTTGAATTTAGAGTTGGTGTTACCACTCTACAAAATTTCGAATGTATACTTTTGTATAAATCGTTACCATTTATGATAATTTGCGATGATCTAGGTAAACTATCAGTTATTTGGAATCTAAATCTCTTCGGTAATGTGTTCTCCCATTTGATCAGTTCATTCTTCAATCAATTAGTAAATGAAATGAATTTACAGTATATATGACAACCCTAACGTATTAGCTGTAAGACAAGCTTGACATGATTGAAAATTGAGGGAAATTAACTTAATCTTGTAAAACAAAGGTTGAATTTCATGTTCCATGTTTAACTATCTAGAATTGTAATAATTGCTGCTTAATCCCTTCATAATGTAGATTATTCACATGTCCGCTTTCTTGTAATGAAGTTACAAAAGGCTGAATGTCAAATGTTTGTTTCTGGTTTTTAGATGAAAGAGGCTCGAGATGAATATGAGTCACTTGATTTAGACCTAGAAGACTTCAAGGTAAAGCTTCGTGTTCTGTGTATGCATGAATTAATAAATTATGTTGTTGTAATGCTCTATTGTTTTTTATGAAGGGGGATTTCTCATTTGATGGATTATATGCAAAGTTAGTAAATGGGATGTTGCCAGCTTTTCGTGATGAAGAGATTCACTCAATGGAAGGATTGATAAGTGTTACTACAAATGATGCAGTGCCAAGTGGCAAGTCAGCTAAAGGCCATTCAAGTCCCTTATTTCCTAAAGTGGATGCTTTATTGTTAATCTTTAAGGATTCTTGTACGCAATTATACGAACTTCAGAAACAGGTAATTGTTGACTTTATACTTTTTATACATGTATTTATGTACTACATACACAACACCAGTTTATTATAGATTGATGGGAGACTACATAAGCTTAAGAAGGATGTTGTTTCCCAAGACTCTAAACATACCAAGACACTCGTTGAGGTAACTTATTCATCTAACCTTGTTAATTTCTCTTTCTTAAATCTTAATCAACAGCTTGCTTCAATAATATTTATATAGAAACCACCTTTTGGGATGTTTTTTATTTGATCTTTCAGATAGAAAAAGGTGTAGATGCAATATTTAGTAGTTTTGCAAGATTGGATTCCCGTATTTCTAGCGTTGGACAAACAGCTGCTAAGATTGGGGATCATTTACAGGTGAAGTTCATTAGATGAAGTAATCAATCAAAGCTTCTGTTTATTTTCAATAAATGTAACATTTTTTTTTCTCATGTTGTCAAAATATTTATTTCAACTTTCTTTTGTTATTACCAGAGTGCAGATTCACAACGAGAGACTGCTAGCCAAACAATGGAGCTCATAAAGGTATATTAAGTTGATTAGGATATATGTCACATTTGACCATTAAATATATAATATTTACCCATATACCCTTTTCAACATTTAGGTTTTAATTACCTTAAATGTTAAATTTATTTTTGTCATGCAGTATCTGATGGAATTCAACAGTAGCCAAGACGACCTCTTACAACTTTCCTCACTGTTTTCTGATGACAAGCGTGTTGGGGAGGCTGCTTCTATTGCACAAAAATTACGTACGATGACATTCTTTTTACAACTGTCTAACAATATTTCCTTTCAACTATGTTTTAAAAAGGGTTTATGTCATAATTTAGCATATATGCAAATAAATATATAACGTATAAAGTGACGTATTAGTATATAACTTTTTAGATAATATATAATAAATAAATAGTGAAATGACTAAACAAGGACATATGAAACAGTTGGTTACTAAATAACTAAAATGACTAATCTGCCACGTGGACAAAGTATGCCAAATCAGCACCTGAAACAACATTAGCAGTTGGTTACCCTCCAAAACATTAAAATCACATAATCCCTTTTAAAAGTTTTCTATATAGTAAATTCTTTTGGAAATTACATTTTCTACTTTTATCTTTCATTTTAGGTTCATTTGCTGAGGAAGATATTGGAAGGCATGGTGTATCCCTTGAATCAGGGAATGCAACTGCTAGTAAAGGACTGGAGGTTGCGGTTACTAATCTGCAAGAATACTGCAATGGTACATTGTAATTAAATTTTTAAACTTTTTTTTTTTTTTTCAATAATAAAAAATGAAAAACCATGATTTTTTTGTTGTTTTTGCTTGTATCAATAACAAGTGAGGTGTATTTATGGTGAATATATGTACGTAGAACTGGAGAACAAGTTGTTGACTCGATTTGATGCTGCATCTCAGAGAAGAGAATTGACTAATATGGGAGAGTGTGCAAAAATCCTTTCACAGGTACTCTATTTGTTTTTTTCTAACTTATTAGCTTTTTACAAATTTAACTCATGTTTTTTCTATTAGAGTAACAAAATATATTACATTATTAGAGACATTTATAACTAAAATAAATTATTCAACGTACAATTGATTATCATATTACTAAAACAAATTTTTTATTAAATTAAAAACATGAGATTTACAATATATAACTTAAGATTGCTAGTTGAAACATAAAGGTTAAATTTATATATATCACAAATTATCATCAATTTAATATATAACACAATATTATAAATAAGTAACAAATATTACATTTACCATATCATTTTATAAATAAACAAAGTACAAACGCACATGATTGAAACGCAAAGAAGCAAATTGTACAGTTGAACACCAAATATGGTACACATGAATAGTAAAAAACCAAATTTGGTGTTGGATTACCGATGTCATGTATGAAAAATTTAAAATCCACATGATCCATCATCATCATCTCCAGGTAGTAATTATCATTTAATTTAATTATGAATTAGTTTTCTAAAGGGAAATTGAGTAATAATATTAAAATGTGTGTGCAGTTTAACAGAGGCACAAGTGCGATGCAACATTATGTGGGTTTAAGGCCAATGTTTGATGTTGAAGTCATGAATGAAGACTTGCGGTTAGTTCTTGGTGATCAAGATTACACACGTGATTCCACTGAAGTTGACAATGCACTTTCAACACGCTACAGACAGATAATAGGTATGGACATTTATAAAATTTGTTAAAAATTATTATTATTTTTTTTAAGTAAAAATTGGGTGTTTTTATGTATGGGACTTATAACTGTTATGAATGTTTTTTTTTTCTTACAGATACTGTCAGAAAAGAATCGGCTACTATTAGGGCTGTATTTCCTTCTCCCAATGATGTCATGTCAATATTGGTTCAGGTAATTGCAAAGATAATTGCCGATATGAATGGAATCTTTTAAATGAATTGTAATGTTTGTTTGTCAATTTAGCAGTTTAACCACTCATACTTTGTTTTTTCCCAATATGAAACCATAAAACTTTTATGGTTTTAGACATTTTTTCAATTTAACCATTTTGACATGATAGATGGTTAATTTGGAAAATTACCAGTGAAATTTGATATGACAATCACCCGCATGTCAAAATGTGCTCAAACTGCAAATGTACCAAAATATAATGGTTTTCTTTTAATTTGCCTTATCAATTTCAATACATATAATGGGAGTATTTTGGCCTTTTAATATAAAAATAAAGCATGAATCGATTTCCTTCCACTCACCCTTATGACGTGAGATTTCAAGGAATTAAATTCCGTTCATTTGGCAATCAAACATGTCATGTAATGGAATCTCGAATTCCAATCCTGCCGGATTCAGCCAGAATCCACAAACCAAATGCCCTTATTCTCCTCATAGGTGTCTATGAAGGGCATATTAGGGTTTTTTTAGGTTGGTTATATACTTGTAACTTGTTGGTGTTTTGCCCTTTGTAACTAACTCACTTCATGTTGTTAATGTGATAGAGAGTAATGGAGGACCGAATTCCAAACCTTCTAGAGAAGCTATTAGTAAAACCATCTCTATTAAATCCACCTCCTATGAAACAAGGTGGCTTATTGCTAGTAAGTATTACTAACTTACTTGTCACATTTGTTGCCTTTGTTACACTCACTTTCTAGGGCTAGTTTTTGTGATGAGGATGAGGAGGGCGTTCCCGTCTTTTGCACAATACACTATACACAGTATATGATTATATACTTTTTTTTTTTTTTTTTTGGTTTCAGTATCTTAGAATTCTATCAGTGGGATATGAGAGGACCCAGGAACTTGCCAGAGATCTCCGCAATGTGGGATGTGGTGACTTGGATGTTGAAGGTAATCGATTATAGTTTTAATAAATTTGAATTTATGGGATCTTTGATATATCTTGATGAATTCATTATTATAAAAAAAAAAAAAAAAAAAAAAATTGAATTTATGGGTATAGGACTAACAGAAGCTCTATTCCTTGAGCACAAAGACATCTACCTTGAATGTGAAAAAGCCTCCATGAAACAACACTACAAAGCAAAGGTATTTTTAAAACACCTCTCTGTTTCTCTCTCTCTCTCTTAGACATGAAGGACATCATGAATTACACGTGGCAGATTGAGGAACTGATTGCTGAGGGACAGATTCCATCAAGAGGAACTCCAGTATCATCTTCCACCCAACATATATCTGTTACAGTGGTAAACGAGTTTGTGAGTTGGAATGAGGAAGCAATTTCAAGATGCAATTTGTTCTCATCTCAGGTAAATTATTTCTATGTCACAATCCACATAGTTGAAGGGGGTGTTTTGCCCCTTTTTTATTTTACCTAATATGGATAGTGATCCTTCTAATTGTTTTGGTTGTTTGTGTTTATATAGCCTGCCATTCTTGCAGCCAATGCCAAAGCTGTGTTTAGTTGCCTTCTACAACAAGTAAGTTGTGAACATAAATACTATAATCATGGGGGTTTAACACATAACCACAAATTGTGAAATTATTTTTTATCGACAAAAGGCTCAAAAAGATGCAAAAGAACTGAACTCTTTTTTTCCAAAATCCCAGAAAATTGTGAAATTGTTCATATTTCGCAGTTTTTAACAATTTCACGATAAAATTTTGCTAAATATCGAGATGGGTAAAAAAACATGGTCAATTTGTTAAAAGCCGTATCATATGGTGCCATAATCTTAAGTTTTAAAATAAAATAAAATATAAATTATTTATATATATTAAAACATTTATAATGTTTAATCAAGTTGTAAAAAAAAAAAAAAAAGATGTCGGCACCACATAATTGTGTAATTGTAAAGACAGTTACATGTTTATAAGCGTATAATGTGACATTAAACCCTATAATCAAATACATAATAATACATTATATATGTGGTTGTTAAATTAATTATGAATAATAAATATCCTTTTGTTTCTATTTTTCCATGTTTTAGGTTAGACAATATACAACAGAAGGACTTGATAGAGCTAGAGAAGGCCTCAGGGAAGCTGCTTCTATGAATCAGAGGTTCCATTTGGGTCGCAAAGTTGCTGCTGCACCTTCCACTGTAATTCTCCCCTATATATCATCCCTTAATTACACACACAATCATACATACATACATACATACATACATACATACACAAACAAAATTTGACATGTAGGCAGAAGGTGCAGTTTCTGTTGGTGAAACAAGTTTTAAATCTTTCATGGTTGCTTTACAAGCTTGTGGAAGCAGTGTGGCTATAATTCAACAGGTTAAATCTAATATCATTCACTACTATTTTATTTCCATTGTTAATTAACACTCGAATTGTAAAAAGCTAATCTGGATTTTGTTTTTCAGTATTTTGGTAATACCATTTCAAGGCTTTTGTTACCTGTGGATGGTGCACATGCTTCTTCATGTGAGGAAATGGCATCAGCAATGTCCAGTGCAGAAAGTTCTGCTTGTAAAGGCCTCCAACAATGCATTGATATTGTAATTGTTGAGGTCTGGATTATAACTTTGTTTATATGAAATAGTCAGGGTAAATTGGTCCTTTTCATCAATTTAACAAAATTGGGATTTGGAATCATACATAGAAAAAAAAAAATGACCATCTTGGATCTAAACTCTGCGAAAATGACCATCTTTGCGGTTTACTTTTGTATATAATATAAATAAGTCGGTGTATGTCTTTTAGAATTAAATCTTTATTCATTTCAACTTCAAAAAAATAAAAAATAATAAAAAATGAGTGAATTGTGGAGTGTAGGTGGATCGGGTGCTTTCAGCTGAGCAAAAGCCGACTGATTACAGGTCAGCAGATGATAATCTCATGGCAGATCATCGGCCTACAGTTGCATGTACAAGGTTTATATTCCTTTTATTAAATAAATAAACAACATTTTATATAAAACAATTTTCACTGCTATTATAAGAATAACCAAAGTACAAAAGTACAATGCCTTAATAAAAAAATTGGAAAATGTTACGAAAAAACCTTAGATTTCCCCCCCTTTTTTTTTTTTTCTGAAAAATACGAAAAGTTTGTTAACAAGGATAATATCACGATAATAATGCCCTTAACTATTTATGTTCTTATATTAAATTACAATTATTATTAATTAACAGAGTTGTAGCATATCTGTCGCGTATGCTTGAATCAGCATTCACAGCACTCGAAGGTCTTAACAAACAATCTTTCCTATCTGAATTGGTAAACACAAAATTTCTCCATTGTTTCATTGTCATATGTTTGACTTTTATAACCACAATTAATTACTTTATTTTATTTGCATATAGGGAAACCGCGTGCACAAAGCAGTCACAACTCATTGGCTCAAGTTTTCTTTTAATGCCAGGTAAAATACAATAATAATAATAATAATAATAATGCTATAATTAACAAATCAATCAAAATAAATTTGTTTAATTTGCCTTTTTCCTCTTTATTTAGTGGAGGACTAAAGCTTAAACGTGACATCACTGAATATGGGGATTTTCTACGAAACTTCAACACTCCGACTGTTGATGAAAAATTTGAATTATTAAGCATGTAAGCTAAATTAACATTTGTTTTATATCTCTCTCTTGATGTGTTAAATTACTAATATGACCTTTTTGATGATTTTCAGCTTGGCCAATATCTTCATTGTTGCACCTGAAAGTTTGGCAAGTCTTATTGAGGGGACACCAAGCATCAAAAAAGATGCCCAAAGGTAATAAATATGTCATAAAAAGGAATTTCATAACATTTATAATTATTTAATTTAATTATTGTGTTTGTTTTTTTGCATACAAATTTTAGGTTTGTTCAGCTTAGAGATGATTATAGAAGCGCGAGACTCGCATCCAAGCTGAGTTCTGTTTGGCATTAACTCAATACTTAAAAATTAGCCTCTATAAAGTTATTATGATAATTAATTAACAAGTGCTTTTTTATTTGTAATTTCATAGGGGCTTGTTTTGGGTTTTAATTTTATTAAGTTTTTTGGGTGTATGATTGGGACATTATGTTGTATGAAAGTAATTGCTTGCACACATTTTGATTTAATTATTTTAAGCTATATAAATTACCAAACCATAGGTGAAAGTTTCATTGGAAACTATTCATAACATTCTTATCTTGTCTTTCTCAAGTTTTCAGATCATAAAAAGTCTCAATTTTCATGTGAATATGGATGCACGTGATCATAATTAAAAGACATTGAAAAAACAGGGAAGTTTTTACACATTTAAAAATCTTTTTCACAAAACTCATTCCGTGAATGCAATAGATTTTGACATATAGTATTTCGACTTGGTACTCACATCGTAAAATAAATCACAAAAATGACAACATATACATATTATATTATGAAACATGTGTTATTGGCAATCAGGTCACCTTAATTGATGTAAACAATCTTATTCAAATTCTATTGAAGTTTAGATGATTAGTTGATACCAAAAACTCAACATTTATTAACTGATTATACTAACTACCTTTTGATTTCCTTAATTAAAGTATAAATAAAAAATAAAACACTCATTCTACATGATTCTAAGTTTGTGAAGGTTAATGGAAGCAACCGAAGTCTAAAAAGATAAAAACAATGGAAGTTTAGTAAACTAACCATTACAAACCAGGTTTTTTTAAAAAAATAACCATATTTTAGTTTTGAAAAATAACCATTTTCTCTGGAATGCCTAAGAGTACTGTGCATATTTGGAGTATTGTTGATCTTTTTTCAATTTTTTATTTTTTAATATATTTTTTATTTTTTTTTTCAAAGAAATTGTTTTGTTTTTTTTTGGAATTCCAAATGATACATTTCGTAATCTTTAATGTTATATTCCGAAACTAGGCATTCCGAGGTATTGTTCATATTCCGAAATTTTAGTCCGGAATCATGAAAAACATTCCATAGTTTGTCAAAAAAAAATATTTTTTGTTGGTCCGGAATGTCTCATTTAGAACAAAGCGGTTATTTAAAAAAAAAAAAAACATTTGGGTTATTTTTGTAAAATAAACATTAAAAAGTGGTTACATTACTTAATTTCCCTAAAAGCAAATGAGTGTTGGCAGATTTCTATTTAGACTGTGTTTGTCGCGTCACAGCTAGCTGATAAGTTAGCTTATTTTTCGATCTTTTTTATATTTTCGTGTTTGGTAAGCTAAAAGTAGCTTATAAGCTAACTTTTTGACAAGCTACTTAAACTAGCTTTTTAGGAGCTTTTTTTAAAAATTTCCACATACACCCCTTAATTAATTATAAAAACGCATATTCTTACATGTCCTTTTATGTAATTTTATATATTTCAACTAACTTTTCAGCTACTTTTATCAAACATCATTTTTTATCAACTAATTTTTTCAGCTATCAGCTACCTTTTAATTTAACAGCTAGCTTTTCAGCTAGTACGCCAAACATAGCTTTAGTTGAGTCAAATATTCAACACAACACAAATTCAATATTTTGCCACAAACACGCTTCCACGATTTACACAATGTGATTCTTACTGTAACACCCGTGTTTCGAGGCTAAGCATTGATGTGATGATGTAATAGTTAGGGTCAACAAATGTAACTTATTTTGAATTAATAAAAAAGAATTATTTGAGTGTTATGTAAATTATGTGAATTTATGTACTTTATACTTGTTTATAATGATATAATAAATTAAAAATGAAAATAAGTGTCAAAAATAAAATGTTAGATAAACCTGATATCTATGAAGAAAGTTGTAGTGGTCGTGACAACGATTCTAGAGATATAAAGAACGCCGATATCCGAGTTATAACGAAGAAGTTATGACCTGTCGAAGTTTCGCAACAAAACTGGTACGACGATGTGTGACGTAAAAAGTGAGTTTACGATAAAATGCTTTTTAGCTTTAGCAATACAAAAGAAAGTCGTAGTAATAAAAAGAACGTCGAAATCTGACTTCGTATAATGAAGTTATGAATTTTATAAGATTTGGTATAGCAGTGTGCAGCTCGGAGTTCGAATTTTAGATCGAACGATTTTTAGCCGACACAACCTAAACAAGAACCGAAGATCCTGTTAATAGGAGCTCAACGATAAAAAGATAGACGAAAATGGGCGTCGAACGTCGAAGTTATGAATTTTTTAATGGACTTTTCCTATCACAACATGTTAAAAATAAAGTCAAAAGTAGTCGATGGAGTCGAAACGAACGTTGTAGAGTACATCTCTACCTACGTGTGGAAATAAAGAACATCGAAAGCAGAGCTCGTATGTAAAATTTACGAATTTTAGAAGTCATGAAAGGAAAATGTGAAGCTGGATGCAAGGCTACGCCTTACTTACGAGTACGCCCTGCGTTAACCAAAGTACTCTCAGTGGTCTCCTGTTGTGCGGTCCCGAAGCAGCCATGTCGCTCCGGCCGAAGGATGACACGTATGTACGAACCTCAGATACTGCCCCAGCTCCTACACCCAACGTTTGCAGGACGCCCTTCTTACGAGGAACGCGCAACGCTCCTCGCAGGATCTCCCCCGCGTAGACTGAGGCTTTAACCTATAAATAAAGGTTCGAGGTTAGCCGATTTTCTCTGTAACGACCCAAAAATCAAAGGTAAAAATCATTTTTAATATAGTCAAAACACATATATCTTTTAATCCAAACATTCCAAAAACATTGTTAATTAAAACATTTATTAGAGTTCATCCCAAAATCACATATTGCGGGAAACACACATGTCCACAGCGATCAAGATGGGCCCTTCCTTTCAAAACCAATGATACCCGAAACCATAAACAAAACTGTAAGCACGAAGCTTAGTGAGTTCCCCAAAGCATACCCCAAATAATGACATAAACCATATCAATTGCATAAACCATGCATATACACATATAAGGATGTCATGGAAACCATCCAAGGCCTTATACACATAATTACATATATCATATCAAGTGCATAGACCAAGCATATAAACATATAGGGATGCCATGGAAACCATTCAGGGTGTTACACCAAGTTCCACTGGAAACCCCCACATGGTCTTAACTACTTGACATGTGAACCCCTACATGGTCTCACAAACATATAAGGATGCCATGGAAACCTTCCAAGGTCTTACACCAGATGCCATAGGAACCCCCTCATAGTCTTAGCCAACTGTCATGGGAATCCCTACATGGTCTGATATCCAACTCCCTGGGGACCCCCTAGGGGTCTTCCATGTAAGTATCACAAAGACTACTAGCATATCGTATATCACATAATCAACAACAATCCACATATCATAAAAGGCAATGGGAACCCCTACATGGTCTTCTCATAAATACATAACGTATTGATAGCACATTTGTAACACCCCAAAAATACCACCCAAAATTTTTGTTTGAAAACTTTACTAAACCATAATATCAAATATCAAAAGATAAAAAAAAACTATGAATCGTGTATCTATGTAACATCCCAAAAATACAGGCCAAAAATTTCATTTTTAAATACGTCATCATAAAACCAACAGTGTAATAAAACATCCATAATATAATGTCATGTCAAAACCAAAGTAGAAATAATCAAACGTGTTATCATAAAATAATATCAGAGTGTAATCCCAAAGATCTCATGTGCGGAAAACCATAGTGTGATGCGCTGCGATCAAGCCGGCTCCTTTCCTATAAACACGAAGTACCTGGAACCAAAACTGAAAACCGTAAGCACGAAGCTTAGTGAGTTCCCCCATCATACCACATACTATATAATCATATAACATACATATATTGTCAGGCATTTCTGGGGTGCCCGACCTACCCGGTACGACCTTTCTGGGATGCCGACCTACCCGTGTCAAGCCATTCTGGGGTGCTGACTACCCACGTCAAGCCATTCTGGGGTGCTCACTACCCATGTCGAGCCATTATGGGGCGCTGACTACCCTTCTGTAACACCCAAAGTTGGAAAGCCAAGAAAAGAAAGAAAACCCCAATTTTAAGGGGAGACTCAGCGAGTCCAAGGAGGGACTCGGTGAGTCCGAGCGGGATCCGGGTCGAGGTGTAAGCGACCGCCTCGGCGAGTCGAGCAAGGTGACTCGACGAGTCTGGTCTGGGCAAGGAAAGCCCTAAATCCGGGACTTGGAGCTTATTTAAATGCCTCATTCTCTTCCTTAAGGCTCCTTTAGTGCCTCTTTCACTCAGAACAATAAACCCTAGCCGTTATAATCATTTTGGAGCAAGATCTAACCCTTGGTGAAGCTTTTTGGAGCTTGAGAGAGAGGATAGTCATTGTGGAGCAAGAAGGGGGCCTTAGATCCAGAGTTGGTGGAGTATTTCTGAGCATTTAAAGGTAATAAATCGATACCTTCCCTCTTTTGTTTAATAGATCAACCTTGGCTATGAGATTTGGAGCTTTTATGCCATGCTTAGGAAACTATTTCGAGTTAGAAGTTAGATCTGAAGTTACTACTTCAGATCTGAGTGTATCTTGGCCTAGAAAGTCATAAAGCATCTGTTCTTGGGTTGATAGTGAAGCCTCTTTGTCTTAAACCCTAGTTTGGATTGTTTTAAGCCTAGATCTCTTGATCTACACGTAAAGTTTGCCACTTTACTTGAGGGATAGGCCCTAGAAGTATGGATCTATGAGTTGGAAGCCCTGTTTGGCTCGAAAATCCACTGCATGGATTAAGGACTGAATAGACTCGGCGAGTCCTTTGAGGGACTCGGCGAGTAGTATGAAGATGGAGGCGAACTCGATGAGTTGGATGAACAACTCGGCGAGTCTGTTGAAGATTGCCTGGGACTCGGCGAGTCTGCTCTTGGACTTGGCGAGTCAAGTCGCGAACCCCAAACCCTTCGAGTCAAGGCTCAGTTTAGCTAGTTGATTGGGGACTTAGTGAGTTGGACAAGTCAGAACTCGGAAATCAGTGAACTCGGCGAGTCAGTAGATTGACGCGGCAAGTAGGGTCAACATGGAAGGTTGACTTTGGCCAGGACCTTGACTTTGATCGGAGTTGAGTTAGTTGACTTTTAGAGGTCTGTCAGGCTAAGTGTCTCTTTGTTATTGGTAGCTCGGAGAGTTAGAGGAGTAGCGTTTCAGACGGTGGTTGGTTAGCAGTCCGAGGGTTACC